GAAGGCGCCAATGCCACCGCCACCATGCGTCCGCCACACCCAGGGTTTCAGGGAACAGTTCCAGACCTATGGGGAAAAGGAGGAGGCGGAGGAGGAGGAGGAGGCCCGCTCCCCCCCGTATGTATGTTGCTTTGCATTCGCATTCCACCAGCGAGGGTCTGTCGCCGTCGTCGTTTTCGTCCGGCGGCGGCTCCGGATCGCCCCGCGGCATGCGGGCTGGCGGCCGTGGACGCGCCGGGGATCCTCCGCATCCGCGGGAACGTAGCCGACCACGGGCTTGCGAACTGCTCGTCCGGGCAGGCGCCGCGCGCCACAAGGACCTCCTGCTTGTGCGGGCGCCGCGCATCGAGTTCTTCCTGGCAGGGTCGCCGGAGGGCTTGCGGAAGCAGCTGGAGCAGTTCGCGGCGCGCACGAAGCGGTACAGGAGGGAGGCGACGGCCCTCGCCAGGGAGATCGGCTTCACCGAGTTTATCCGCGAGGCCTGACCTGATGAGCGCCCCCCCCGAGCCGCGCCTTCTCTCGACTGCCCGACTAATTGTTTGGCCTCGCGCCGCGGACGACCCGCGCGCGTCGCTGGGACCCTCGCGGGGCGACCAGCGCGCGTCGCGGGAACTCCGCGCTGCGTTCTTCCTTGCACCTCGTTCGCCCGTCGTCGTTCTGCCCAGCGGTCAGAGCCCTGCCCGCTATCAGCCAGCCAGCTAGCTAGCCAGCTCTCTTTGCTCCGCGCAGCGGACGACCCGCGCGCGTCGCTGGGGCCCTTCCGGGGCGACCGGCGCGCGCTGCGGGGACTCCGCGCCGCGCTGCGCCCGCAGCTTTGGATTTTGGGGTGCGCGGGCAAAGAGGGAGGAAAAAGGAAGCGGGCGCGATCCCCGTGAGGGGCGTGCCGACATGGGCGTCGCGGCGTGCGGGCGCTGCCGCCGGGGTTCCCGCGGAAGCTTTCTGCGGCGGCCACGTTCGGTATCACGAGTGCGCAGACAGGCGTGCCCGAACTATTCGCGTTCATATACATGCACACGAGGCGTAGCCATGATCGCATTCGTGCAAATATATTCGCTCGCGCGCATATTCATTCACACTTAGACCCGCTTTCGCTCAGATTCACCCGCGCTCAGTCTTTCGTAATGAGACCAACTGTTTTCCTTCGTGTTGTGTGCCCCGCCATATTTCGGCCCCCCCCTCATGCGGTTCGTGGGCGCCGCCGAAGAAGATGCGCACAATTGCGGTGCTCACAACTGCATGTGGTTGGGTCCTTCGCCAGGATCTCTTTCTCGCTCTCTATATATATATATATGTATATATATATATATATGTATACATATATATGTGTATATATATATATATATATATATATATATATATATGTTTTTTTTGTGTGTGTGTGGGGTTTGCATTTTAATGTCAATTCGCAATGAGCAACGCAGCGTTTTTTGGTCCCTTTTTTTTTTTTTGTTTTTTTGTTTTTTTGGCCTTTTTCGTCGGCCAGCCCCCCTTTCCCGAGCAAGGCGCACATGGATTCTATTTGATGGCCGCGCAAAAGGAATACATTTGCATGTTTGTATAACGTGATATCAATTGTGTCCCACACAATAGGAATACATTTGTGTTGGCCACAAAAGAGCTTCATTCGAAGGCCGTGCAATATACCGCTTTTGTCAAAGACTGCCTCGCCCAAGGCTTGTAGAACAAAATTTTTACCGCCCTGACCCGTGCTTTGTTCTTGTTTGGTGCGGTTCTTATCGAACGCCTCCTTCGACGAGGCTGGCATGATGGCAAGAGCAAGCCAAGTTGAGCCAAGGGGGGCTACTGAAACGGGGGGTGACACAAAGGGAACACGAACCGACAAATCAAGCCTTCAACCCGGAGACGCCCCCAGAACGCTCGAGCCTCAAGAGGCCCCCGCGAGGCCCCTGAGAGCCCCCCGGGCGGCCCCCAAAAGGATTCAAAATTATTGTCGACAAGCCCCCGAGAAGCCTCCCAATATACCCCACGATCGTCATCATCACCACCATATGCGTTATTATCGTCATCATCAACGTCATATTCATTGTCATCGTCATCATCATCATCAGCATCATCGTCATCGTTATCGTCATCGTCATCATCGCCATCGTCATCATCATTGTTATCATGTTGTTCATCCCTCGCGAGTGCTGTCTCCAGTGCCCCCTCGAACGAGAGCCGTCTAGCGTGCTGGACTAGCACTGTGGCAGGACTTGCCGCAAGAAGTGAGGTAATAAACAAGTGGCCCGAAAAAAAACTCGCATAGCTGAAAGGAAAAAAAAGGAATCGTATGGAACACCAGCAACAACGAGGAATATTGATCGCAGGATGGGCTTTCAGCACACACGCACATATATATGTATATATATATAATGTATTGGATCTATGTATGTATGTATATATGTATGTGTAACTGAACATGTACATGTATATGTATATGTATATGTTTATATACATGTATATGCATATGTATATGTATATGTATATGTATATGTATATGTATATGTATATGTGTATGTATATGTATATGTATATGTATATGTATATGTATATATATATACACATATATGTGCATGTATATGTATATGTATATGTATATGTATATGTATAGGTATATGTATATGTATTTGTATATGTATATGCATATGTATGTGTATGTGTATATGTATATGTATATGTATATGTATATGCATATGTGTACGTATATGTATACGTACATGTATATGTATATGTATATGTATATATATATATGTATGTGTATGTGTATGTGTATATGTATGTGTATATGAATAGGTATATGTATATGTACATCTATATGTATATGTATCTGTATGTGTATATGTATATGTATATGTACATGTATTTGTACTTGTAATTTTGTATAAATATACACACCACAGGGTTCCGCAACACGGATTTTCAAACACAGTTTGTGCGCGCGTTCTTGCGAACTCTTGAGAAAACCGTAGGTTTTTCAACCTGTTCGGAAAATGCCACCAAAATGGCCTTGCGCGCGCGAGTTGAAATCGTTCGAACGCCCCTGCGCGCTTGCCGTCGCGAGAATCCCTTGCAACAGAAGGGTCCGAAATGCGCGCGCGCGTCGTCGCGCGTGCATGTCGAAATCCGTCCACAGACTTCGGTCTCGTAGCGTTGTCAAAACCGAATGTCCTCACAACGAACAAAAACACATGGTTTCGCAACACCAATTTTCAAAGAAAACGTGCGCTCGCGCCCCTGCAGGTTCTTGAGAAAAAAACCATAGCGTTTTCAATTACTTCTGATGGGATTCAGCCAAGCGGGTCCCTCGCGCCTCATAGCGACATCACTTGCACCCCCTTGCGCGCATGCTGGGGGGGGGGGGGGCGGTCCGTGCCAAATAATACCAGGCGGGCCAGTCTCGCGCGTCGGCCGCGCGCGCATGTCGAACTCTTTCCAAAACCTTCATCACCGACGCGAGGATGCCGTTATCGTCGTCGGCGTGATCAGTATCGACGCCCGCATTGGCCGCGCCTTCTTCGTTGTCAACATCGTCACCAACATCGCTATCATCATCGTGTCTACCGTTGGCGATGTTGCCATGATCCCGCGCCCGCCCGAGTCGCCGACTCGCAGTGCGGTGTCCGTTGGGATGTGCCCAGCGGTCAGCGCCACCGCGGCCGCGTCGGTCGCGCCAAACTAGCTGGCCGCTGCTGCGCGCGTGCTTGGGTTGGCGCGGCCGCAGAGATGCACCAGCCAACGCCAAGCATGCATCGGAATCGCCACCGCATGGGTTTCGCGAGCCAAGTTGCGGGTGGGTGGGTGGGGTGTTTGCAAGAGCATGGGATGTGTCATATCGTTTGCTAAAGTGAATTGCGCCACGTAAAATACACCACGTACATCGCACCACGTATATTGTATCACCCAGCTGACACCACATGGCTTGCACCACATATCTTGCACTTCGTAGCCTACGCCACGTAGCTTGCACCACGTAGCTGGCACCACGTAGATTTCACCACATTTTTGTAACACGTAGCTTCAATCACCTACAGTGCGCCACGTAACTCGCACCACATATATTGCACACCGCTTACACCACATAGCTTGCATTACATAATTGTCACCGCGTAGAGTGCTCCACGTGTATGCTTGGACGTATTGTTTTGGGCCCACGCTGGCTAGCATTTGGACTCCCAGCTTTCAATATACTCTTAAGCGCCATCATCTATTTCAAGGATCGATCGGTTCTCCCATTCTTCAGAAGGCGGGCCGAATCCCAATACACTTTCAACGCCGTGCTGCTCAACGTTTGGACTTGCCACGCTGGGGCGCTCTTTGTTCGGGGCAAGAGTACGAGCCCCCGGCGACGGGGCTCATACTCTTGCCCCACGCTTGTATGGCCCTGGTTCGACCGTGTTCCCTCTGCCTGTCCCAGAGAGCTTTCGAAGGTCCGCGCGGATATCTTGGGTCTGCAGTGGACCCTCCTCCCTGGCGCGTCAAGCGCGCCAGTGGCTGCGGCGCCAGAGGCGCCGCCAGGGGGCTGCCGCCAGACCCAAGAAGTTCCCCACGCGGACCTGTGAAAGTTCGTGCTTCTGTTTTTGGGTTCTGCTGTGCCCATCGCCCCCGGACCTCCGACGTCGTATTCTGTTCACCTGGACCTCCACATGTCTACCCCGGTGCCAGCTTTTCATCCCGCATCGTTTTCTGACGTTCTCTGGAGCGCGACTGGTTCCCAGAAGCCAGCTACAATTTGTGGCCACCCGTACGCCTGGATTTTTTTGTGTCAAGACTCTGGCTGGCGACGCGCACCAGGCGTTGGCAAAGACGGCTCCCCAGACGTGTCTCAGCTTGCCCTTGGCCACGGCCTCCACGCCTTGCCCTCATGGGCACGGATGGGCTCTCCAGAGGAGCGCGCACGACCCTGGCGTCCGCTCCGCTTCTCGGACTGGCCTCTCCCCCTCGGGGCTGCCTCCCCGTCGTATTGGCTTTGTCTTCGTGGGAGCCTTGAATTTCATCGGCAG